CGGGTGACCCCTGTGAAAGGGTCGTTCGACCCCCAAGGGGTCACGACCCACAGGTTGAGAACCGCTGGCTTTAATGCCCTTATTTCCCAACAAACTTAATAGTACACATTTAGGAGCCTGTTTTAAGGCTGGAGAAGAGGAGGAAGATTATTAGTACCCCAGGAATCCCTATTGGTCTAAGACACCCGCCCCCTCCCTCTAAAAGCATAGTGGACTCTCACCTGAGGACAAGGACAGAAAAGGCCACCATAGAGTAAGAAAGCAAGGTCCCAATCGACGTGAGGTCCACAAGATCACCGAGCTCAAAGAGGAATGCCATGAGTGCTGGAATACAGGGTAAAACAAGGAGTTGGGGTAAGAGACTCCTGAAAACAGCCAAGTCAAATACATTGATTAAAAAAAGACAGGAGTCCCGGTCCCAGCTTGATGATTTCATTTGGAGGCGCTGAGGGAGATAAATATCTCACTGGAAGCCAGACCTGCTCTCTCTGCCTTCCCTTTCCCGCTGCTGAGACACTCAGAGCTGGAGGAGACACGTGGAGACCCACGCCAGCGCTGAGATGTCTCCATTGCCACTGGATCCACAAGACTACCCACTGGCCTGTGCTCTTCCTGCATTCGGCATCAGTGCATGTGCTGCATGAGTCTAAAGAGGACTTTATGGACTAGTATCAGACATATGGGCTAATGTCAGCCTTATGGACTTGATCTGGACTGAGCTGGGATGTTTTCTTAATAGCCAATTACTCTTTGATATAAAGCTCTTTCTTATACACACACACACAAAAGACAAAACTCTTATTTCTTCACCTGCAATGATTCCGGAGACCAGCGTGGCCAAGACAGGAGTGTGTGTACGAGCATGGATCCGGGCGAGACCTCGGAAGAGGAGCCCATCCTCTGCCATTGAGTAGATCACTCGAGGTAAGGGGAACATGGCACCCAGGAGGCTAGAGAAGAAAAGAGAACATCGTGTGGGACACGCAAGTGCATGAGAGGAATGTAAATCAACGAATGGTGGAGAAGATGTAGAGCAGGGGAGCTCAATACGTGATCGCGATCTACTAGTCGATCGCAAATGTAGCATGGGTAGATCCTATGGCATTAAAAAAATAGACGTAACCTATCATCAATCTCGTCACATAACGGATCTACAGCACAGCCAATCAGATGCAATCTTAGGTGTCAAAACAAATGTGCAAACAACTGCGCTACGTGCAGCAAAACTGACAGGCTAAGTTATCGCCAATTTTTAGACCTTGTTTTTTTATCTCTTAAACTTAAGAAAGGGTATTAAAAAGAGTCAGGGTCGTGGGCTGGACCAAGTAAGAAGACAAAAACATATCCCTTTCATACGGAATGGGAGATTTTGACACGACAAGCCGACATTCAGCTGAATTTCAGAGCGCAGGAACAGTTCTGGAACTTACTCGCAGAGGGAAAGTGCCCAAACATGAGAACATGTGCTACCTCCTTGACTGCATGATCAGCTCTACTTATTTATGTGAGTCAGCCTTTTCCCACATAAAGATCATTACGTCCAAGTACCATTCCACCATGACTGATGATCATTTGGAAGTGTGCTTGAGGCTGGCTGTCAGCAGCTACTGTCCGGACTATGTATCCCTGTCTCATTCCATTCAGTGCAAGCCATCAGAGTAAACTCAGGTCATGAAAAAAAATGTACACAGTTAATTGTGTTGTGTTGTGCAATATGGGCTCATGTGGTTGTGCAAGGTACATAAACAAGCATTGTACATATAAAGAATTCTCAATGCATTTATGGATACATGTAATAAATAAATAAAAATAAATCTATGGTTTGCATTTTTGTACTTGATAGATCATTTTGACTTGATCATTTATAAGTAGCTCGCACGGTGAAAAAGTGTGAGCACCCCTGATGGAGAGAAACTGGAGCGCTCATCCATTGCTCGTGGGAATGTAAAACAGTGGCGCCGTCGTGGAAACAGTGTGGTGGTTCCTCAGTAAGTGAACACAGAGCCATCACGTGACCCAGCAATCCTACGCCTAGTTACAGGCATGCCTCAGTCCCAGAACCATAGCAATCAAGTGAATGTCGTCACCAAGCAAGTCACAGGGGTATTTTTGGCCTCCCGGTGCATATAAAAACTGTGTGCTATCAGGGGCTCAAGTGGGAAGAGAATGCTTTGAAAATGAGGATGGCACCTTATGTGCAAATGTGTTTGACACACTGGATGAATGTATGGATTGTGATAAGAGATGTAAGGGCCCCCAATCAAAAGTATTTGATAATTTTTAAAAAGCTCTTGCACCATTCTTCAGTCTAGTAAGTGTTCCGTAGCATTATGAACAAAGCCCTACGTATTGTGAGACTTTCCAAAGCAGTGAACACGCGCTATCAGAAAAGTGGCACTGATAGATTTGCTCAATGTTTCTTGACTGTGAATGGGTTTGGACGAGGACAGTAAGGGTGGTGGTCATGAAATAGATCGTCCATATTATGGAGTTGGAAATGTGGAGATGTTCTTGTGTATGCTTTTTTTTTAATTAAAGGGAAAAAAGATTCTAAGGAAAAATTTTAAATAAAAAAAATTTAAGTAAAAAATTAAAAATAATAATTAATAAATTTTAAAATAAAAAATAAAGGAAAATTAAAGCATGAGATAACTGGAACTTCCCTCTAGCCTACATGAAGGAAGGCATCTCTTCTAGTGGAAATGATACCGAGAAAGGTGCCTTATCCCCTTCGGCCACAATTCCAATGGCTGGGAGACCTGAAATGCTGAAGACAGACAAGGAAAAATGTTTGAGACTGACCTGGATGAAAGAGCACAGAGGGAGCCAACAGCCACTACGTATCTTGCAAAGGTCCAGCCAACATGGGAAAAAGCCACCGGCAAGGGGCTCTTGTTGTGGATCTGGTAGTAGGGCATCATGAGGGTGAGTGAGGCAGAGACTCCAAAATACATCAGAAAGCAGATGAAGATCGAGACCACAATGCCCACAGGGATGGACCAACGAGGGTTCCGGGCTTCCTCCCCTGTAAGATAGGTGTCAAAGTGTTGGGACAGAAAATCACACTGAGGTGTTTTTATTTCTTGCCCAGCACCATTCTGACTCATCGTGATCCCGAGTAACAGATTAGCGCTCCCTAAGGCTGCGATCTTTGGGGGTCAGGTCTTCAGATTTTTCTTTTGTACAGCCACTGGATGGGTTTGAACTGCCAACCTTTGGGTTAGCAGCCAAGCACTTTAGCCATTGTGCTACCTAGGTTCAGATCTTCCCTCTGACATCCTCCAAATCGGGTGAGCCTCCTATGCATTCTATGCACCCCAATACTGGTAGATCAAACTGCTCAATGTCCTGATGGGACCAAGGGACCATTATTACCTGTAGTGGCAATGCAATCAAAACCAACAAATGCGAAGAAACACGTCGGTGCTCCTCGGAGGATCCCCTCAAAGCCAAAAGGCATGAATCCGCCAGAGCCCAGAGGACCCAAACTATGGGGAGAGAAGGAATGAGGAAGACGGGTGAAGGGTGTGCAGCCATCTCTGCCGGACTTCTCAGTTAATCATGCTGTGCTCTCGTCCCTGCCACCATCACCACCATCTGGATCCCTCAGGCTCCCTGTTGTTGGGAGGCGCTGTAAGGCTGATTTTCAACTCACAGCAACATCATGCGACAATAGAACTGCCACAGAGGTCTTTCTTTCTTTTTTGTTTAATTAATGTTTTACAATCCTTCTATTGGGAGATTTTACAGACACCATAACATTCCATAGTTCAATCACATCAAGCAGTACTGTACTACTAGTACTATTAGTACTATACTAGGTAGCACTATTTCTACTAATCAGTACTGTACTATTAGTACTAATTATTACTGTACTATTAGTACTGTACTAGGTAGTACTATTGCTACCACAGTCATTTTCAAAACATTTTCTTTCTTCAACTCCTTGGTATCAGCTCCCTCTTACCCCCGCTCCCTTCCTCCTCCTCTCCCCCCGCCCCCAACCAGGAACCCTTATTTTTTTTTGTTGTTTTGCTGCATCTTACACCATCCAATCTATCCATTTACATACAATTCTGCTGTTCGCCCCCCTCCAGTGGGGTTACCCAGTCTTCAGTGCTATGAGCTGCTCCCCCTCCCCCCACTCTCCCGGCTCTCGCTTCCTGTTACCTCAGGGAACCATTACTCCTGTTACTGTTTCTGAAGAGTTATCTATCTTGGCTTTCGTGTATTGAACCATCGTAATTATACAAATGAACATGCATAAGTCGAATATGATTAATGCGGTGAAACAAATAAAAACCATAACAGTAAGGGGAGGAAACATTAAGGAACTGAAGGATAGTTATGTGCTTCATCGGCGCTATTCTACACGCTGGATTTATCATCCCTTCTATGTTGCTCTTCTGAGAGGGACTGTCCAATTCACTTGCCGGTGGGTTTTGGGTCTCCACTACATGTATCCCCACTCCTTCACATCGATTTGCACGTAGGTCTTTTTTTGGGTATAATCTCTCCCACCCCTTCCAAAACCAATTTATTGGAGCTACTACAGATATCATATAGTTCCAGATTTCAATCACATCAAGCAGTATTTGTACAATTGCCACCACAATCTGTTTCAAAACATTCTCTTCCTTCTTGAACTCTTTGACATCAGCTCTCCTTTACCTCCCCCTCCCCCGGCTATAATCTTTTGGACATGATGTCCTCCCCCCAGGGACTGGTCCCTCCTTACCACATGTTCAAAGTGCATGAGATGACATTTCGTCATGCTTACTTCCAAGGACAATTCTAGCTATAATTTTTTCAGCACGGATTTTTTTCAGTCTTCTGGCCAAACCAAACTCATTGTCATGGTGTCAAGCTCATTGGAGACCTGATATGACAGAGTAGATAGTCCCTCTGGGGTTTTGAGATTTCAAATCTTGACCAGAGTAGACAGTATTGTCTTTCTTCTGCAGAGTGGCTGGTAGTTTTGAACTGCTGACCTTGCAGTTAACAGCTCAATGCATAACCCACAACGCCACCAGGACTCCTTATGGATTGACACGGGTGGGGGGAGGCAATAATGGGCTCAATACTGATGTAGAGTTGGGCAATGTTTCATTCTGCAGTACATAGGGTTGTAGGAGTTGGAGCTAACTCAAAGGCATTTTAACAACAAGAATCTTTACCCAAGCAGATCACCAGGTTTTTCTGCTGGAAGAGCTGCTGCTGGGTGGGATTAAAAGTCAACTTTCTGGGTAGCAATTGAGTTCTTCACCATTGGACCACCATACCACCTTCAAATACCCCTACTTCTAGCCATACTGCCAGGCCTGCAGGCGCTACTGCGGTGGCCACTTGCGCACCTTCTCACCTAGAAGTGTTGCTGACCGCAGCCATGCTCTGGTTGTAGTCCGACTCCCCGAGCTTCCAGTTGTGCACATCTCCCAGAATGAAACCGGAGAGGATGACAAAACTGAGGACCAAAAGGTTCATGCCTGTGAACAACTTGGTCACCAGGGCTGACTCCCTTGCTCCCAGAACCAGCAATCCTGTGGAGAAAACGTATAAAGGCAATAACTTTGGTTTCAGTCCAGAGAAAGAAACTCGCCAGTCTACTGCA